GTCTGGGCAACAGAGTGAGACTCCAACTCAAAAAAAATAAAAAATAAAACAAACAAACAAAAGACATGACTGGGTGCAGTGGCTCATGCTTGAAATCCCAGCACTTCAGGAGGCCAAAGCAGGAGGATCCCCTGAGCCGAGGAGTTCAAGATCAGCCTGGACAACATGGTGAGTCCTTGTCTCTTCAAAAAAAATTTAAAAATTAGCCGGACACGGTGACATGTGCCTGTAGACCCAACTACTCAGGAGGCTGATGCGGAAGGATAGCCTGAACCCAGGAGGTTGAGGCATAGAAAGCTGTGATTGAGTAACTGCACTCTAGCCTAGGCAACTGAGTGAGACCTTGACTCAAAACAAAACACAAACGATTTCTATGACCAAAAAACCCCCCACCAAGCAAGCAATCAATTCTGCAGCAGACATGAGCTGGGGATCCTTTAATTCAATTCAATTCTGACACTCTCTACCATGGGGTGGCATTAGATCCCATAGTTTGAGGGCTTAGTCCAACAAGTCTGGTCCCACTGCAAATGCCAGTTGCAAGTAGTAAGTGATCACATATACCTCTGACTTGCTGACTATAAGTCAGGGTTCCCACAGCTCCTTCCTTGAGTTCAATTAATTTGCTAGAGCAGCTCACTGAACTCAGGTAAACACTTTAAGCTATAATCCCAGCACTTTGGGAGGCTGAGGTAAGAGGACTGCCTGAGCCCACAGGTTCAAGACCAGCCTGGGCAACATGTCAAGATCTCGTCTCTACAACAAATCAAAAAATTAGCTGGGCATGGTGGCATATGCCTGTAGTTCCAGCTACTTGGAAGGCTGAAGTAAAAGGATTGCCTGAGCCCAAAAAGTCGAGGCTGCATTGGTTGTGAGTGTGCCACTGCACAACAGCCTGGGAGATAGAAAAAAAACACTTCATATACATTTATAAAGTGGTTTATTATGAAGGATAGTTCAAAGGATACAGATAAGCAACCAGATGGAAGAGATGCATAGGGTGAGGAGTGGGAGAAGGAATATGCCACCCTACAGAAACCTTCACATGTTCAGTTATCCAGAAGCTCTACAAAGTCTGGCCTTTTGGGTTTTATGGAAGTTTCATTATATAAGTATGATGTTTTGTTTGCTTGTTTGTTTGTTTTGAATCAGAGTCTCATTCTGTTGCCCAGGCTGGAGTGCAGTGGCACGCTCACAGCTACCGCAGCCTTGACCTGCTGGACCCAGGCGACTCTTCCATTTCAACCTTCTAAGTAGTTGGAACTAGAAGCACACACTACCATGCCTGGCTAATTTTTTTTTTTTTTGTGGAGACCAGGTCTCACCATATTGCCCAGGCTGGTCTTGAGTCCCTGAGCTCAGGCACCCACCTCTCCTTCTGTCTCCCAAAGTGCTGGATTACAGGCGTGAGCCACTGTGCCTGGGTATAGGTCTGATTGATTAAATCACTGACAACTAGTGATCAACTTGACTTTCTGCCCCTTCTCCTCCCCCTCAAAGATTGGAGGATAAAACCAAAAGCCCCAAACCTCTAATCATGCCTTGGTTTTCCAGTGACAAAATACTCTTAACACTCTGGAAACTCCACAGGGACAAAAACCAAATATATATTTCACAATACCAAGAGTACACTGAGTTACTATTTCTCACTTAGACTGGAAAAAATACAAAGGTCTGACACCCTACTTTAGTGGTGAGGCTGTGGAGGAAATAGCCATTTCACTACTGGTAGGAGTGCAAAAATGAAACAAAGCCTTTGACAATATTTATCAAAATAATAAGGCATTTCTCTTAGCCCAGTAACACCACTTGTAGGAAGTTAGCCTACAGATACACCTGCATGTATACAAAGTAATCTTGCTATGACTATTCATTGTAACATTATTTATTTTATTCTTTTTATTTTTATTTTTTTAGTTGAAGTCTCACTCTGTCATCCAGTGCAGTGGCATGCTCAAGGCTACCGTAACCTCAACTTGCTGGGCTCATGTAATCCTTCTGTCTCAGCCTCCCAAGTAGCTGGAACTATAGGTGCAGGCCACCACACCCGGCTTATTTGGACAGGCTGGTCTTGAATCTCTGGACTCAGGCAATCCTCTCACCTCCCAAAGTGCTGGAAATACAGGCATGCGCCACCATGCCTGGCCTTATCCTATTTTGTAAAGACGAGGTCTCACTATCACCAGGCTGGAACTCCTGGGCACAAGCGATCCTCCTACCTCAGCCTACTGAGTAGCTATGACTATAGGTACATGCCACTATGCCTGGTTATTTTTTGTAGAGATGGGGTCTCATCATGTTGCCCAGGCTGGTCTTGAACTCCTGGCCTCAAGTGATTCTCCTGCTTTGGCCTCCCAAAATGCTGGGATTATAAGCACGAGCCAGCACACCAGGCCAAAAAGTAATAAAATTTTAATGAATAAAAATAAAAATATATAGCCGGGCTCGGTGGCTCAGCCTGTAATCCCGCACCTTGGGAGGCTGAGGTGAGTGGATTGCCTGAGCCCACGAGTTCAAGACCCGCCTGGGCAAGCGAGACCTCATCTCTACAATAAATCAAAAAATTAGCTGGGTGTGACAGCATGTGCCTGTAGTTACAGCTACTTGGAAGGTTGAGGCGGAAACATCGCCGGAGCCCAGCAGGTCGAGGCCACGGTGGCCGGGGGCGGCCACTGCACTCCAGTCTGGGCGACAGAGTGAGACTCCAACTCAAAAAAATAATAAATAAATAAATAAACAAAAATAAAAATATATTAAATTGTACATATTTATTCCAGGAATTTTATTTTCAGGGAGATATTCTATAAAAATAATTAAGGATGTTTACCTCAGAGTTTGTTACAATAGTGAAAAACTCTAAAAACAATCTAAATGTACAAAATGATGTACACGTAAGTTTGTTGTCTATTTATATAAAATACAATACAGAAGTAAAACTGATAGAAAAGTAGGCTGAGTGCGGTGACACATTCCTGTAATCCCAGCACTGGGGAAGAGGCCAGAGGATTGCCTGAGCCCAAGGGTTCGAGACAGCCTGGGCAACCTGGCAAGACATCCTCTTTATAATAAATCAAAAAGTTAGCCAGGCGTGGTGGCACCTACCTGTAGTTCCAGCTACTTGGAAGGTTGAGGCAGAAGGATCACTGAGCCTAGCAGGTTGAGGCTGCAATAGCCATGTGCCACTGCACTCTAGTCAGGGTGACAGAATAAGATTCTGACTCAAAAAAATAAAAAATGAGCCAGGCTCGGTGGCTCAGCCTGTAATCCCATGCCTTGGGAGGCTGAGGTGAGTGGATTGCCTGAGCCTGCGGGTTCGAGACCCGCCTGGGCAACTTGGTGAGACCTCATCTCTACAATAAATCAAAAAATTAGTCGGGCGTGGTAGTGCGTGCCTGTAGTTTCAGCTACTTGGAAGGATGAGGCGGAAGGATCGCCGGAGCCCAGCAGGTCGAGCAGCCACTGCACTCCAGTCTGGGCGACGGAGTGAGACTCCAACTCAAAAATAAATAAATAAATAAATAAATACATAAATAAATAAATAAAATTAAAAATGATGGAAAGGCCATATGTGGCTTACATCTGTAATCCCAGAGCTTTGTGAGGCTAAGGAAAAAGGGTTGTTTGGGGCCAGGATTTCAAAGACAGCCTAGGCAATATAACAAGACCCCTGTCTCTACAAAAAAGATTTCTTTTAATTAACCAGGCATGGTGGCATGTGCCTATAGTCCTAGCTACTCTAGAGGCTAAGGGGAGGATCACTTGAGCCCCGTAGTTCAAGGCTGCAGTGAGCTATCATTGCACCACTGCTCTCCAGCCTAGAAGACAGAGACCCTGTCTGGAAAAAAAAAAAAAAAAAAGCTGGGCACAGTAGTTGGCTCAAGCCTATAATCCTAGCACTTTGGGAGGCCAAGGCAAGAGGATTGCCTGAGTCCAGGGTTCGAGACCAGCCTGGGCAACTTCGCGAGACCTCGTCTCTACAATAAATAAAAAATTAGCCAGGTATGGTTGCATCTACCTGTAGTTCCAGCTACTTGGAAGACTGAGGCAGAAGGATTGCCTGAGCCCAGCAAGCTGAGGTTGTGGTGGCTGTGAGCGTGCCACTGTACTCTAGCCTGGGCAACAGAATGAGACTCCAACGTAGAAAAAAAGTGGTAGAAATAGATTTAAACAGAGTACATAGTACACAATTGAACAAAAATACTGTACATGTTATAGAACAGCATCAGTATTATCCCATTTTTTGGAGGAAAAAAGTGTGGCTAGAAAAGTCTAGAAGATATATAGTAAAATAAAAATAGCATCTTTTTTTTTTTTTTTTTTTTTTTTTTAA